GTGTTCTTCTGGCTGAAGCCCTCCCATCATGGGAGAGGCCGCACGCCTCACCGGGGAATGCAGCTGATGGCTGGAAAGTGTTCTAGGCTGGGATGCTAGGGAGGGAGCAGATGATGTGAAGCCTGAAGGGGGTCCCCCAGGAATTTCCCAGTGTCACTGTCAGCCCCCAGTGTGGTCAGGATGACAGTGCGAGTCCCAGACAGAAGGTAGGATGCTGGGCAGTCCGTGTTGTCTACCCAGGATAGGGAGTCAGAGAATTAGAGAAGAAAAAAGTGGCAATTGTCTAAGGGCTGAACAAATGGATGCAGATGGGTGGGGCAGGCGCTTGACCCAAGGCTTCAAGAATAATGTGATGAGTATCATCTGCTAAGCTGAGAGCAGCTGCCTCTGGCTGGTGTGATCTACCCCAAAGGAACAGGATTCCACCAAAGCAGGGGTGGGGAGAGTTGTGTTGGGATGGAGTGGGCAGAGCCAAGAAACACAGAAGCAGCATGGTGCCCTAGAAGGGACGTGGTATGGAGACTGAGGAGACCTGGGTTCCAGAACTTTCTGGCACTGAGTCACTCGCAGTGTGGGCAGAGAACTCAAGCTCTCTAGGGCTCAGTCACGAAGTAACTCGTGGACAAAAAACTCAAGCTCTCGAGGGCTCATTCATCCCCTCTAAGGTGGAAATAACGGCACGTGCCCAATTTCACACAGGGTGTGTAAAGATGAGATCTGACAAAGGTTGAGAAAATATTTCACACACTATGGAACGCTTCCCAGCCATGAGGCCTATTATTCTTACTCTTTGGAGGAAAACACATTGTCAAAAAAACCAAACCAAACCAAAACAAAACAAAAAACCTGTTTAGACTAAAAGCCAATTTCAGAAAGTATAGCAAGAGGCAGGAAAACAAAAACCCACGAAAATTCAAAATATATCCAACCAACCATTCTGTTCTTCTGGCCAGAATACGAAAGTCACTTTTTAAGGAAAACTGAAATACAGATTTGATTTTGCTCTATACTACACACCTTCACTGGGCCTTGCGGTAGCCATGGTGTAGACTAAACAGAAAGTGTAGACTAAACAACTGACTTGGCCACAGCGCAACTTTGGGTGAGAGGAGAGGGGGAGGTAACGGGTAGAGTCTGGAGAAGCTTCTGAGGCAGGCCTCGGGTGGAGTCAGCTGGGCAGGGAGGGCACCTGGGACTCCACTGCCGGGTCTGGGCCAACCCCAGTTTCTCCGTTCCAGTGGGGAGAGGAGACTGAACCCGGGGGGTCCCTGGAAACAGCCTGCAGAGACACACAGAGGTGACCTGGGAAATGTATTGCCGCACACGCAGTTCCTCTCAGGCCCTCGGGAAGTATGTGGATGGCATCCAAACTGGAGGCCAGGCGAGGATGGGAAAGAGTGGGGAAGAGACAGGGGGTCAGCACTGTCAGGGACAGGGGCAGCAGAGGGAGAGGGGAGAGGGTGGGGGAGAGGCAGGGATGGAGAGGACTTGAATGCAGCCAGCCCTGCCAGTGGACAGGAAAGGCCAAATCCTGGGCTCCCACAGACCTCACGCCAGCTCGGGGAAGGCTGCCTGAGCCCTGCAGGGGAGACCGTGGTGGTGCTCAGGCACACACAGTGCCCTGGGAGCGCACAGTCATGCCGAGGCCCTTGTGCTGATCTGGACTCTTCTTTTCCTTCTGCAGAAAAGTGACGACATCTGAGCAACAAAAAGCAGGGGCTGATTGTGCGCGTGGAAGAATGAGGGGATACTGCAGGGGAATGAAGAGAAGAAGGTGACTGAATCCAGGAGGGGAAACACCTTCCCGTTCCTCCTCCCAGCCTGTGAGCAAGTGTGGGGAGCAGGGCTGTCTGCACTCCCTCCCTTTCAGCCTCCTACCCTGAGCCTGTTTCTCACTTTGTTTCACATGATAGGAACATGACGGCATTTCCTGTTACTCACCATGTCAGCAAATGCAGCTACTGCTAATTCACAAAACTGCTTTCATCAGGGTCAGTGGGCCAAATGGGCCCCAGCTCCACCAAGCCATTGCCTTGGCCTGCCATTGCACAGCAACACGGGGCTCCTGGGCTCCGAGGGTCCCAGGGAAACACAGTGACGGTGGGTTCAGTTCCTGCCACCTCCCCTCAGTTGACTTTGTGACCATGGTCAACATGTGACCTCAGTTTCTTCATTTCTTAGAGAGGGTGCAGGCCACCTTCCCAGGGCTGTTGTGAGGGCCCATGAGATGGCAGGGCTAGTGCAGTGTCTCATACTCTGAATCTCAAAGAGATTCTTTGAACATCTGCTGTGTGACAGCCACTGTTCTAGGAGCCGAGAGTATAATGGCCAAACAGCCCCAGCCCAGTCCGCAGAGGGCTGCATCCTACAAGGCAGAAAGGCAGTAAAAAGTCACTGCTGTATACTAAGGACAGGTCGGGGAGGTGGAGTAAGAAGAATAGGTTCCGCTAAGAGTTGAATTACCATTCGACCCTTCAATACCATTACTGAGTATATACTCAAAGCAAAATAAATCATCCTACCAAAAAGATACATGTACTCACGCGTTCATGACAGCACTATTCACAATTGCAAAGACATGGAATCAACCCAGGTGCCCATCAACAGTGAACTGGACAAAGAAAATGTGATAGACATCATGGAGTACTCTGCAGCCATAAAAAGGGACAAAACCACGTCCTTTGCAGCAAGGAATATGGATGCAGCTGGAGGCCATTATCCTAAGCAAACTAATGCAGAAACAGAAAGCAAGCATCACATGTTCTCACTTAGACGTGAGAGCTGAACACCGGGTCCACATGGACATAAAGATGAGAACAGACACCGGGGACTCCTAGACAGGGAGGAAGGGAGGGAGGGAGGGGGGCAAGAGTTGAAAAACTACCTGTTGGGTATTAGGCTTGGTTCCTGGGTGACAAGTTCAATCATACTCCAATCCTAAGCATCATACAATACACCTTTGTAAGAAACCTGCACACACACTCCTGGAATCTAAAATAAAAGTTGAAAAAAAGTGCAGTTTCCAAAGTCATACTGATTAGCAGCGAATTGGCTGTGTCACTTTCAGCAAGTTACATAACCTCTCTGTTTTTATTTTCTCAACTCTAAAGAGAAACAGAACAACATATACCTGATCATGTTGTAAGGATTAAAGAAAGGAGTTTAAGTCCCTTTGCACAACATTCAACAAGGTGAAGTTAGGCACCAGCAGTGATGATAATAAGCAGATAACAGTGATGATGAGAAATGTGATACACACCATGGGGAGAGTGTGGGGTGCTTGTCTCATCCAGTCTTGAGGTGGGAGAGGAGACCACAGTCAGGGACAGTTTCTCAGAGATGACATTTAAGCTAAAGAATAACCTTAAGGGTTATGAAATTAACATTTAAGGCTAGCTATGTGGCTTGAGAGGAAAGGACTTCATACTTCCTGATGCAGCCACTGCAGGGCCTGAAAGCACTGAGTGCTCTGTGGAGCCTTCAGCAGCAGCAGCTGCAACCAGAACAGGTATTCTGGAAGGAGGGCCACATGCTCTAAAAGCAGCAGGGCCAAACTCCCGCCACATCGAGCCAGCTCACCACCAGTAGAAACAGCAGCCTGGGTGACAGGTAGCAGGCAAACAGGACCGCATTGCCACCTGACCCTGTGCATGGCCACTGACAAGTCAGGAGGGCTCTCTGTGCATCATAATCACACGCCAGTTCAACAAGTTCTTCACAGTGGCAACTGCAAATCTATCCAATACAGTCATCCCTTGGCATCCACGGGGGATAGGTTGTAGGAGTCCCCACAGATACGAAAATCCATGGTGCTCAAGGCCCTTCTATAAGATGGTGTCATGTTTGCATA